TGACATGCATTTGGGACGAAATTACGGTGAAAAGTATCGATGTAAATGTGTAAAATGTCAGAGAAGGCAATCTTGAGGATTTGTTACAACCTTTTTGGGTTCTTTTCGGTTGTCCGGAAAAAAGTGAATAATCGGGCCCATTCACTGGACAAGACATAAGAGTATTAGCAAGCATTCGGCTTATGAAGCCTTCAGAATAAAGAGTGTTTCACTAGCACCATGCGGTTTTTTTTAATTTCGCTGCACAAAATTCCTTCTATAGACTACTTTTACTCCTTTGATATCGCAAGTCTTGAAGAACTTAGAAATTTGTCTGTTTTTCAAAAAAAGCACCTTCAATGGAGCTGTTGCAAAAAGAAAGCATTTGGGTTTCACAGGCGCATATTCCGCTCCGGACACAACTCTTTTTTGGGCTATCAGTAATTATTCGATAGCGTAAGATTTAGCGGTTTCACAGTGTGCTTTATTATTGAAAGACCGCTTTGCTGCGATGTATCAGGAAAAATAAAAGTGATTCACATACTCGGGATGTGCTTTTTGACCGATCTATGGACTGCGCGATGGGGGTCGGTCTCGATGGCCTAATACGTTAGACATACTTGTGGGGTACAAATTTTGCTTTTTAATTTGGAATTTTTTTCCCGCTTTAAAAAAACTTTATATAAACGGATGACTTAGGTGCAACAAGATTTTGTTTACACGTTCATAGGCTTTTCGTGATTCCGGCGAATTATACGTTTGATGAAAATGAAGGAGGGAGGAGAGTGTATAACGCAATTTTATTATGAACGTTACATCGTCATGAAAGGGTCTTCCCGAAAAAAGGCCACGTTTTGCGCTAGCCAGAGATTTAAGCTTTCGAATGATCACTAACGCTTTCATGAAAATTTCTTATTCAGCGAACAGAGCAGATTATTCATTTGTCTTCGAATAACCATAGAAAATACATTATTATTTATTATTATAATTGCTGATCCAATAGACGTAACTAGTCCTTCATCTCGGCGGATTTATTTACTTATACAATATTTTTTTGCTGTAGAAATATGTGAAAAAATTATCAAAAGTTTTTTTCCACCGTGTATTCTTTTCCAACTAGGTTTTTAATGGTCAGTTGTGAAGCAACGCGCAAGCATTTTCTTATGTTATTGATCGAAAAACTTCTCCTTGCAAAAGCTTATTTGCAAATATCTGTTGCTTTTTTAAGATAGTTTGTCCGTTTAGTGCTATTATAGTGTTGCAATAAATAACGGCCAAAAAAATGTTTGCTTCAGATACATTCCAGTTCAATTTCCGCAGACAGTGGCAACTGCCGAGAGGAAATGCGATCCAAATGGACGCAGTGCCAACATTCGAATTGCTTGATTCACTACACCTTGCCACATTGTTTATGAGCAACTTGCCATGATAATGTTCGTGGTCTGTAGACAGCCCTTTCTTAACCTAGCGAAGTTATATAAAAGGGAGAATGTAATTCAGACCAAGAAAGATCACGAAACTGTCAAGGGTGGGCCGGACACAGGTGTTATCATCACTTTCGATTCTGGGAGCGCTGGCACCGTACATAGGTGATCTTGTTGATCCATATCAAAGAAAACTGCTGTCACAGTGTTGTCCATTATGATGGAACACATTTCCATCATGTTGACTCCAATACTCTATGAGGCTTAAGAAGACTTATTTTCTAACAAGGTAAAAATTGAAAACAGCTTTGAGCACAGATTTTCTGTTATTACTCGTGCCATTTGAACCATTACCTGGAACACTGAGAATGCACCATTCTCAAGAAATGATACAAAATTTGGTATTACAGTTGTATTTTTTCCAAAGATTAATAAAGATAGCCGTATTTGTTTTTATGTGTTATATTTCTGCTCTAAATCCTTCAAAAACTAAAGATGGAACACCCACTCGTATATGAGTTCCCTACACCAAAACGCACTTTCGGGCACATCAGTAGTGAGTAAGTGACTGTTACAGTAAGTTGACTCAAGATGGTCAAGTTGACAGCATCAGGTAAAAGTGCTCTTCGAGCTTGGCTTTCAAGAACGTCAAGGATCTAAATAACGAATCTACTTCTAGCACGAAGAATTTGCTTCAAATTGCTTTTACTAAAATTATGTGAAGTGATGTAAGTCATATCGATACTAAGAGGCTGACGTAATGTCAGAGTATTGTAAATCACTTCCCACACCTCTTCAGATATCGAAAAAATGTGATAACACTTGAAATGTAAGAGTCGCACATTAATGCCTACATAAAAGGACGTTCTGCAAATTGCCTAGCTCCTGCCTTACTGTTAGCAATACCAGGAACTTGGATCGGAACATCGGTTGCAGTGGAAAAAACCATGGCAGCAAGCAAAGTGAAGTCAGTGACAGTGAAGTTTCTGGGGTTCCATGCAGTAAAAATCTTCAGTTTTCACTGTAAGACAATCTAAAAATGATTAGTCGTAATCTGACAGCATATGTGTAAGCCTCTGGTGAGGTCTGATATAACAACTGTCAGTCTTAGATGTATGTTTCAGCCTTTCAGCCTCACTAGTAAGAAGACGTCTTTTAGTTCAGCCAATCCCTTGTAGGGTAGTATACTCTCCACATATGAAGGAATCGACTTCGAACATGTTATGAGGCATGTAAATGGCTAATAAAAGGCTTAAAATATGTAACCAGATAATGCAGTTTTAAGAGAGTTTTCAAGAACAGTCGAATATAAAGGTGAACTACCATATTTAACGAAATTTTACTTTTTTATTCAAAAATTGAAATAGTGCATCAAAGGGCTCAGTCGTGACAGCTTGAGAGTGCTGATGAAATGTTAGGTTATTATATTCGTTGTGATCAGAGTCATGAATTTCTGTCCAAAACTGAAAATATCCGTAATGCCATTAGTAATCTTCTATTCGTTACTTTGGACTGCAGGCACCACTCCGCATCCAAACACGGCCAAAATTGTGGCCAGCAGCGAAAATATAAAGGGATTGGAACGTCTCACCTTGTTTTAGGAAAAACGATTTTTGCTTTCTAAAGGCTAGGAGATATTCAAATTCAACTGTGGGCAAGTTTACATTTTCTGCATCAGATCATTCACGAGGAAGCAGCAAAACTGCCACCTGACAGTTATACGTGATTGACACCATTTTGGGGCTAATAAAGTTGCAAGAGCTTCAGAGATTCCCAATTCCCTCAACTCAAAGCAATACTTTTGCTATCGATCGCTCTTTTACAGGCCCACTCAAAACGAAATAATCTGATAAGGATATGAAATGTTTTGAGGCGATAGGTCTAGTGCTATATATGCCTATTTCATCCAATTGGGACTCATCAGTGGCATCCTTCCTCGGGTTCCATCGATCCCTTGAGGCCAAATAATCCTCTAAAACAATCGACTTTGAGTCGAAAATAATCACCTTAAGTCGGATGACGGTATTACCTAGCGTTGTGGTGACCGGCAGTTGTGTTTTGCGCGGGTCTGTAAAAGAGCGGTCGATAGCAAAGGAATGATTCATCATAAAAGCCGCAAGCTCGACTGCTGGTCACTACAACGTCAGGTAATGCCATCATCCGACTCTGAGTGATCGATTCTTACTCGGCTTCAGTTCCTTTAGAGGATTATTTAGCCTTAAGGGACTGATGGAGCAGAGGGAGGGTGCTATTGATGGGTCCCAATAGGACGAAGTAGGCGCCAATATAGCACTAAACCTATCGGCTCAAAAACATGTCATATCCTTATCAAAGTAAAACTTTCAAAGTACATATGGTAGATTCTACTAGAGCACGGAAACATCGGTTAGTGGTGTAAAAGACTTGCCAAATGTGAATGACAATCAGCTGCGTAGAACGGAACACTTGAACAGTTGCAATTGATGCGCCAATTTTTAACGTAGCGTAGCCGTAACTTAGTTCACTCCTCCTAATTTCTGATGCTACGTGATGAAATCACGACTTTCCTAAAAATAATATACTCATTATCGAAAAAGCGCCGAAATCACAAGCTCACTCTTGTGGAAGGTCTGCAGAAGCAGATGCAGACTCATAGAAACGAACTATACTATCTTTTGGGTAACATATTTTACTGAAAAGCAGAGATTATGTCTGATAAACACTCGTATTTGCATTGTCCTTTTCCATTCAGTGCGTCTACGAAATATTCTTCATTGATGGAAAGGCCGACTAATATCCGAAACTAGAAAGATAACCCTACAGGATACTTTTCAAGGATTCAAAAACAGGCGGAAACATACATGTCACCAATCTATCACCAAAATCACGAACCAAAATGGGAAACCGCATCAGAATTAGTGTTAGAAGAGACAACTACATGAGGGCATTATATTTGTTGTGAGCAGAATAATCCTACATTTTGATGAGTTTGCCAATGAATCGAAATGGGAAAACACAGTCGACATTGATAAGAACGCAAGTGAGGTGACGCTGAGCAGAAGTTTTCTTTCTCACCTTGTTTGTTTTCAAGTTTTTCATCACGATGATTATCTATGGGGCTCCCTCAACTCTCGCAGTCGTAACGTACAAATAAACTAAGATTTGTTTTTGCACATTTCGAATAGCAAAGTCGCTTTTCATTGTGCAATGGTTTCAAATTCTTTGATGAGTTATCTCGCTGCTAGAAATTGGAGGACTAATCTGAAATATCCGAAGAGTGATTATCATACATTGAGTTATGAATTCAACTGATGCAATATTAATCAATCAGAATTCATTTATTCAAGCGTTTGTTTCGGTGGTATGATCTTGTAGTATACCCAATAATGTGGAGTGTTGTGCAAAAACATTTGCATCAGCCGGCATTCGAACTCAGATCTTACTCTTTATGTTAGCGTATAGCGAACAAGCGGTTAAATATCCTACTGATTATTGATACCCAATATCTGTCAGCATAAGTAGGTTTAATGCCGATAACGGCTGCCTCGCCAGACCGTAGACGGTTGGCTGTTGACAGATAACGCGTTTGTAGCGTAAAAAGAGTGCTGTGCAAAACGAGTGTCGATGGTGCAACGGTCAGCATACGCTTCCGGAAATAGTGAAATCTAGGTTCAAATCCCGGCTGACGCAAATGTTTTGGTACAGTACTCCACATTATTGACTCAGTATTCTAAGCTCTTAAAGTTACTAAAGATAACCACTAAAAACAACATTTTCAAAACATATATTGCCGTGTTTTATGAGAGGGAAAACTGCGATCAATGCTGTTCCAGTATTTTCGCTGGTGATTAATAGTAGCACTCATTCTCAAGTTCACATAATTACTATTCGGCAAACGATGAATCGCTTTCGAACTTTGAAGAGCTTTTCATTGAAGGCTATACCTACAACGAATTGTCTAATCTCCTAAAAGACATTTCCTTCCTAGTGAGACTTCTAACCGAGCAATGTGCGACATAAAGTGTGAAGCAGAAAATTTCACTCCTCCCGAAGATTAGTGCGACTTGCACGGCTTCGGCCGCAAAAAATGCCGTTTTGTTCATTCCTCAATACCAAATCATAAGTACTGCGAATGCTGTTTGATTATAGACCCTGTTAAGTGAGTGATGATGAAAGAGACACTTTTATTTTGTTTCAGTTGAACTGATAATCAACGAACAGTTTTGCTATACTGTCCACTCTGCACCTTCACTCGTCGTCAGTAATGAGAGCTTCATAAACTGAGATCCAATTCACTGAATGCTGTACTACTTTTTGCTGTTGTCGTCCATTGGCGAAAAGCCGGAATCGCGCTTTTCTCTTTTTTGTAAGGCGTAGAAATATTTGCTCTGGGATGCTTTTTTGGATGAAAAATTTTCTAAATGCCCCTAAAAGCCTAGGACTGATTTGGACGAATTTATCGCTGATTGAAAGAAAACTATGCTTCGCACTTTTGAGATGATCTTTCCGAGACATTTGCAGAAAAAAATAGACCACCGAACTGCTACATAGATTAGATGAGACTCCATTATAAACCGAGGTGATGGTGCGATCAACACTTTTTTTCGCTGTTATGCTCCCAATACCCAACGTACAGCTTTCTGAGTTCTCATAGCGCTTTCTAATATGAGCTTAGCAGTTACTTTCTAAGGGAAGAAGAGGAGCTTACTCGTTGGAGGCGGTTACCAACCAGCTCCGAGCGCACTTTCTGGCCATTTGTTAGCAGAATTTTCGCCATTATAACCATTCTTCATGAGCTTAACTGAAATAGCACAATACTTCGAGAATGCCACCATCGCCGTGAAGAGAGTGGAATGCGCAAGGTGAAATCAGTGAGCCAAAATTAGTCGCTCCACCTTCCAGGTCATCTTATAAACATTATAATGAGAAACATGAGAGTAAAAAGATGATTAAGATTAGTATTTGCCAATTACATCGCTTTATAATATCCTATATCAGCCAAGCGGAGCGAATATCGAGCGACGTCGACGTGTGGACAGGGTAATTTTCGATCAAATTGCACGAAAACAACATCAATGATCAAGGAATTGATTACGACCTTCCATTCACTGTTGAGATAATGGATATCTCAAATGCTCAAGTCAGGCCGATCTAGGACGGGAAGTCAATAGAATGAGCGACTCATTTCTACAGCTAAACAAAAAGAAGCTAACTGCTTGAGGAGCTCTCAAAATCGAAAATGTCATGGAGAGATTAAAGTACATCCAACTTTTTGTTCACCTATTCGACACGGCGATTATCGCTACCTACAAACGCTTCAAAAATCTAGTCGCTAATTAAGAAGGGTGAAAGATCACTCGGCGTTCCTGAACGCGCAATTTGAAGGTCGATGCAGGAGCATCTCTCAAATAGGAGAAGGATCAAGTTTGTGCTGCATAAATCATCCAGAGTCAAAGACGCCGCTTTCTACACTAGGTTGCCGAAGATCGATTGAGACAGACAAGTAGTGCATATCAATGACAACTGATTAGCGAGAACCGTTAACGACCGCATTCTTCGGAGTTCTAAACGCACAGCAGTAAGTTCACCTGATGTGGACTGATCTACTTATGAAAAGCTTTGAAGAAAGACATGACGCCTAGCTAATGAATGCAGATGAAAGATTCTCTACTAGTTTCTCGTTCACGAGAAACGGAAAAATGGAAGACTTACTGACGTGTGCTTGAGTCATTCGACGGTGAGTGGGCCAACATGTGATGCAGGTGATAGAAACCGAAACAAAAAATAATGTTGTGGGACATTTATGGTACTATAATGAAATGGTTTTGCCACAGCACTTGCCAAAACTCTTCAGTTCAGTACATTTTCGCATTGAAAGTGCAGTAGGATTACTCAAACAAGATTGTTCGCAGTCAGTAATTCAAACAAAGCGACACGAAACTGCTAAATCTCGGAATTGCTCCAAGACAAAAGTACTAGAACATGGAAGTGATTCCAGGACCGACAATCTATTAACCTCGACATCATTTGTATAACTAAGTGACCTCTTCTGTTTAGCAATTCCGAAGTGTTATTGATATTATTTATTGAATAACGCAAAGCATAGAACAATACAGTTAATAATACAACATGAATATTACAACAGTCGTGGTGCCTCACGTTTCGGCAAGTTTCGCCATCTTCAGAGCTTGGGAAGGTCAAATTGATTTGCAAATTAATAAACCAAAGGCCTTCGTAACCCTAGCAGAAAACGCAAGAGATAATTTTGTGGGTCGCATGGGAAAAACCTCATTTTAAAAAACACTCATCGTTTAGGTGTTTTGCGCCTCTCAATCAATCATTGAAGATCTGCCACTTCGAGTCTGTGCTTAAGTGTAACCCTGCCTGGCTCAGGCCGGGAATCTTAGCCTGAGGTATGGTGCGAGGTCACGCGATATTACGAGGCCTCCTCTTTGCGGTTCATTTTTGAGCCTTTGCTATGGATCCAAAAAGTTTCAAAGTTTTATGCTTAGATATTTCTGATTCCTGTGCGAGGAGCGTAAATTTAACGTCAAAATTTGCTTCTTTATGCTTTTGTTCCTTATGCGTGCCTAGTGGGGCTTTTGGATCGGAGTTACGTTCTCCAGCTAGGTGCTCATTTACGCGGATGCAGAGTGGTTTACCCGTTTCGCCAATATACTTATCCCCGCATATCTCGTAAGAGATTAGGTAAATTGCACCCAATCTCATGCAGTCGCCGTCTCTGCCGTTTGGGAAAACTTTGCAGTCATTGGTTTCGCATAGGCGATCATATAGTCGGTTGCGGACTAATTGTCGTTCTAGTGTTTTTAGTGGTATCTTGACTACTGCTACCGAATTATCTAAACTGCTTCTTAAGCAGCGTTTAATGGCTGCACTTACTCAGTTAGAAATAAAAGGCAGGATGAATGGAACTTTATCCTTGCCAGACCTTCCGTATAGGGCCTCCGAATTTTCTCTAATTCTAGCTTGAGAAGCTCCTATCGTGTTGTAGCCATTAGAGATGGCTAGTTTTCGCGCTGAGCTCAGCGATTCTACCTTATGTTCTTTTCTTGTGCACACATTAGCAGCTGTTCGAAATACGTTTTTTACAAGTGCTCACTTTGTGCGCAAGGTATGAGCAGATAGGTAATGAACCAGGATGTTTTTGTAGTTCGGTTTGTGATACCATTTTGTATTGTAGCAGTTTCTGGGGAGAGGTTAACTTGAACGTTTAAAATTGGAAGCCAATTTGCCTTAGGTTTCTCACGGGTGAACTTGATGTAATCTGACTGACTGTTTAACAACTCAAAACATTTGCTCATCTCTTCTTGTGTTGGACAGGCGACAAAGCAATCATCTGTGAACCTGCAATAGAGTAACGACCGGAGATCAATTATTGGGGCCTCTACTTCAGACATAAAAGCGATGACAAGGGTCGGAGCTAGTCGTTGTCCCATTGCCAGCCCTCTGATCTGCGCAAAATACTTCCCAGACTATCTAAAGAATGAGCAGCTTAGCCACTTTTTTCAGAGAGCCATGCCCTGCCGAATGGAGAAGCCATACATGTTCGTAGTTCTTTCGTGCTCCGTTAGAAGCTGGCATATGGCTTGCATTGCAAACTCATTCAACACGTTTGTATGAGGAGCGATCACGTCGAAAGATTCCATTACGTACGCGTTGCTGGGAGACGCGTTACGTAGACGATCCAAGAACATTTGGGTATTGGTAAGATGGGCTGGAATGTGTTTTAGTAGTTGGACTAGTAATAAGTTTAAAAACCACGTTATTCTATCCGTTGGCCCCTCTATACAGCTGATGATGGGTCTAACTTTGAGGTTTGATGGATCAGTAGACACAAGATCATCAGTGCATGTCAACTTGTGATTCTTAATGAGTAAGTACAAGACGGGGCATGATCATGGATCGAGTTTAAGCTGAGAAATACGGAAGTTCTTAACCAGCCGATCTTGCTATTTTTATCCATTCACTATTCGACTTCCGATATTGTTTTTGAAGTTCCTTATCAAATGATGGACGATAAAGTGTAGCGTCCTTTAGGTGTTTTTTTCGTTATCTCAACCCAACCGATGGGGAATTACAACGAACTCTCCTCGCTTATCACTAACTGATGGTTAAATGGTTTTGGACTTCATTGGCTTCCGTATCTATCGTATACCGTTCTTCTGCGTTGATGTCAGGTTAGAGCTAAATTTTTTCGAGGATAGTGATTAAGAATTCTAAGAGTCTCGTCCGAAAATATGCGAAAATTGACATCTACTTTGTTATTAGGGCCTTGCTGTCCAAAGAGCGTGTTGGTAAGGAGGTGTTGGTAATGCACCCAAATTTTGCTGTTCATGCCTGTTAGATGTTTCTATTCTGACTTTATAGTGGAGGCGATCTTGAAGCTCTTGTAAATTGCGTGTGATACTGCACAGGGTTTCCTTGCATGGTTGCGCTGGTAAGAAATCGGGCCCATTTCCAGGAGCGATCGCGCATTTTCGGGGAGAGTCATGCCTCTTAACACGGTGATCCTTGATTTTTTCGGCATTATTGATGTTAGCTTGACTCTTAGGGCTTTCGTTGTCGGTGCGAAAGTGTTTTGTCGAAGTATGTCTATGCAGTTTATTCAAAAGATTTTCAAATTTTTTGTGTGAGGTTACTTTAGCACTTGACCTAATAGATTCGTAAAT